TATCATTTTCTTTTCACAAGATAATTGGTATTACTATGAGTGGTGCTTATTTGTGATGTTGGCACTAACCTCCTGGTTAGCACCTACATACATCCAAGTCCCCATCCATGCTGAGCTCTTATAAAATGTGGGTCTTGTCTCATTCCTCTTTCTACCCCTACACTTCTAGCAAAGGAAAGAAACATGGAAATGACTGAATAGGTCCTCAAGAATTCTCATTCAGTGACAATACCGAAGACAATGCCTTCAGACATGCTAAATAAAGATCCCAGAATGCTATTCCAGAGGTTCTAAGCCAGAGTCTCTGGGATTAGGCTTAGGGTCCTGGATTTGCTAGAAGCTCCTCAGTCTCCTCCTTTGTAAAATGGGATAACAACAGTTTCTATGTGGAAGTAAATGAGTAACTATGCAAGTGCTGAGACACTGCCTGGCACTCAAAACTACACAAGAGCCAGTTATTAGTATCGCTGTTATTATAATATGATCAGCCAATCACGAACAGGTGTGTGGGAATATTATCTATTGTTTTCTCAAACTTAAATGTGCATAAAAATCAGCTGATGACTTAGAAATGTAGGTACTGGGGCTTTACTTTCAGAGACTCTGACTGATAGCAAGACAGGGATCTGTCATGTTCCCTTAAGGGGAAAAACAGAGACTCAGCAGATATATGGTAAACCAAGGGTCCTCTTACTCACATTTCTAATCCTCAAGGCAATGAAACAAGCTTCTTTGAAATGCATCTCTTAAACAGGGTGAGTTGAGACACATTTAGAAAGTGAATGGGAGTTTGGGGGGCTGTTTAATAATATGCCAAGGGATCATTGAGGTCTCTGGGCTTCCATCATCAATGGTTTCAGGACCACACTGCCTGCATGGGATCAGCTCACACAGGGTGAGGAAACAGCTGCTGTCTCTGCAGGCTGCCCTGAGTAAGCTGCCCTGGATGCCGCTTCAGAGGCTCTATCATTCCCTGCAGAGGGGAACTTAGCCCGAGTCCTCTTCCTCCTAACCAGTGCTACACCAGAGCAGTGCCTGGGTCAAAGCAGTCCGGCTCCAGGGACAGCGGAAGACATGGCCTAGAATCCTGCATGCCTCTAGAGCTGGAGTTCATGGGGATTATAGCATGCTTGGGAAGAAAGCAGAGTACATCCCTGGCAGGCCCAAGAAGATTCCATGCCTGGGCAAGAATACCCGAGAGCCCTTGCACCACATACATGTGTCATGGGACCAGCCCTGACTTGTTTATGCTTCTGACCTCTGAAACTACCTTCCAGGACACTTGAGACTTAAAGGGCCAGCTTTCCAAAAGTGAGCTGACACCATTTTTTGCTTCTCTTACAAACAGCATTCCAACTCCCCCACCACCACCCCTTCCCCACTGGTGATGATGCAAATTACACATTTAAGCAAAATCAATACTTGACTGTCCTGGAACCTGATCAAGCCTGGACACACCCATAAACAAAGACACTGCATAATTACAGACAGACATTTAAACAGAGACAACTATATCCTTGCTTTTACTAAAAATTATTGCTTTTTATATAAAATTAGGCATAGTCAGTGTTATAATACAGTAGAATTTACTTTTTAAAATAATGCTTTCCTTCAAACTCCTATAATTTTTTTTCTTGTTCTTTCTAAATTAAAGTACATGTACTTTCTCCCCCTAACAGATGGACAGGCCAGTCTCCAATAGTTGGTGAAACTAGGGTTAGAGTGTCAGAGAATGTATTTTGTCCATGGCTCCCTCCCAGTCAGGTTCCTGCGTTACGAGGAGTCTCCCAGAGATCTCCTAGAACTCCCAGTGGAAATTCCAGCCCACACCTCTGGATTCTTCTGTACAATTTCCTTCCCTTGGCCCTAAGAGCACATACACTTGTGATTTGATTGGGACCCCAGAGGAGAGATGGGAAAATGGCCTACACAGACTTAAGCAGCTGGGCAGGGAATTCCAAGGTCCTAGGAACCCTGAGCAGGAGTGGGGTTGTGCATATGGCACATTCCTCTGGAAGTCTGAAATTCTGCTCTTATGGGAAGGGAAGCAGCCAGAGAAGGACTGCCACATGGTGCTTTCAAGTACAGGCCCCAGGAAGTGGGCCACACTGTGCTAGCCCAAGACAGTGCTATATAGAGTGTCCACACCATACTCTGTGTGTTCCATATGTGAATACCTTAGTGGGGATGTCCTATGAATACTGACCCACACACATCACTGGGACATATTTCAAGGCTGTAGAAGGCAGGAAAAAGCTAGATAACATTCTTTGTCTAGCACCTACTATGTTTATTTAGGCAGAGATAATTCTCCATTGTCTCTGCTGCTACCTTATCTGTATGCCTTGTCAAAGGCAAATAACCTGGCTTCACAAATGAATGGTACTCCAAAGATTCAGAAAGAAGATCTGGAGGGTCCTAAATCATTCTCCTCTCCATCAGCGCCATGCTTACTGCCATTTAGTTCAGCACAGGTTTCCCCTTCTCTGAAAGGCTGCCTGTCTTCTGGAAACCTTCCTTGAGCCCAGTCCAGGAGGTGCCCTGTCAGGGTACCTAAGGCTTCGCCCCACCACCGCTCTTACAACCTGGTGTGCAATAGCACCTTGCTCATCAGCCTTCTCACTAAGCTGTTGCTCAGTGAGGCCTGCAGCTGCATCTACTCAGCCAAGGCATTCCCATGCTTAGCTTGGGATTTGAAACATGCTAAGGTCTCACTAAATGTTTCCTGTCTGAAACCAGCAGCAATAAGAACAAGCAAATGCAGTTTTGGGGTTGCTTTCATAGTTCTTCACTATCAGGGGGCTCTAAGTACTACCAAATTCAAACAAAACACCTTTTTAATTTCTGAATGAGAGAGGGACTGAAGATACATCAAACACCTGAATGTGTGTAGTAATGGAGAGCACTGGGTGCACGTGAGGAATATCACATACATTTACTGGGAAGTATTTAAAGGACATTCATTTGTAAAGCCAGGTTATATGCCTTTAACAAGGGATGGATGTATTTTTTAAAAGGGTGATAGTCACACCTTTTCAGAAGCAATTCAGAAATTGTCTCTGTTGCTACCTTATCTGCAGAGCTCAAAATCTTGCTTTTTATTGAAACTGGGTTGAGGGTGCCAGTGACACCTAGAAGGAACTGTTTATACTTATGTGAAATATGGCACAATAGATCCATTTTCAAGGTTAACTATGTGTGACACATGGACTACTTCAAGAAAATGGAATTTATGGAAAAGCAATTGTCTTTTGATAAAGCCACATATGATGTTATTTCTACTTGCAATCCAGGACTACTGGTAGAAATATTAAATACTGGACAATAATACCAAAGACATTCAAGGCATTAAAAAAATTCTGAACCTCTGCAGGAGTTTGATAACTTTGGGAGGCTCACTTAGAGCCATCTATAAAGAAAAGACAGTGCCAGTAGAGTGACTAGTCCAGACTCTGCTGGCCCTCTGAGAGGAGACTGCCTGCTGCCCCTGCTCGCTGCAGTTTTCTGGGAAATGTCTGGAGGCCATGAAGCTCCTGTAAAGGAGTAGCCTCTGATTTCTGCATCTCTCTCAGTTTTCAACCTCTTCCCAGCTCAGAGAGCAGCTGGTGTGTCCTAAAGACGTGGGCTTAAAGCAGATGTGGCCACAGTTCCACTCTAGGTAGACCCAATGGCTCATCTGAAAACCAGCAAATCCTCATTCTGTCCTCTGAAACATTAAGATTATTTCTGTTCCCAGCAAGAACTGAAAGTCCTCCTAACAACTTCAGGGGCTCATATCAGGAGAACTTGTGTTATCCATGGGTCTCCCCTCTTGGGCAGCCATACCTTTATAAAGAAGACTGGAGTCAAGACCAAACTACTCAGGTAACTTCATCCTCCTTCTTGTTAAGAAAGACACTTGGTTTCCCATGATTCCCCTTTACTGGGAAACTCAAAGCCCATCACAAACAAATCATAGCAGTGCTTCCAGTGCCCTGAATGGACATCTGGCTACCTACTACCTGTAGTTCTCCAACACTCACTTCCCTGGAACTCAGGTCTTCACTCATCCACAAGTCTTCACTGACCATGACGCCATGATCTCATCTTTAAATTCAGAACTGGGCTCTCTCATTTGCCTATTTTAATTGCCAAATGAGGCAATTCTTCACTGCCCAACACTGGAATCATTAAAAATCACCTCCACCCAAGCAGCTTTCTCAAATGACTTAAATTTCCCCGAGAAAGCCAGTCTCTTGAGGTGAGGACATGTCTCTTTCCTTTAATTTACTTCAGAGTAAGTCCTTAAAATTACATTTTCTTAACATCAGGGGGCGGGGAGGAGCAGAAGCAGTACTATTTAGCAAGGGAGTCTGCATGAACAAATAGTAATTAACAGCTATTCCTCGTCCATTCTCATTCTCAGCATGGGCAACCCTCAAAGGAATCACAAAGCTCATTCCCTACTGACCATCAGTGATAATGCTTTCTTGGCCAAGTCAGGTCCCAGAACGTGGGGCCTAAAGACTTTGAAGATCATCACTGCTAGCTCAGCCATTTGGCAGGTAGCAGTTACCGGTGTTATATACGTGTGTGTATCAGATTGGAGGAGAATTAATGGCACTAAATGATCAAAATCTGGCGAAGACCCTTTCATGGTACAACCAGTTTTGCGTTTTCCCCATGCTCCAAGCAAATACTTAATTCAGATTCCTAAAAGTGGGAGGTGCCTCTCCTGGGCTACTAGTATAAATCCCAAAACCCCAAATGTTCAGCAGTCAGAATGGGTTGACCTAGCTTCTTCTGACAGTAAAGCCCTAACAGCTCTTTGCAGACAACCTTGCTCCCCAAAAAGAATGCTGGTGGACTCGAGTGCTGCCCAACCTTCTCGCAGGGTGGCACCTGGAAAAGCAAGAGACTTTAAAACTAAGAAGAGGCGCACTCCCATAGCTCAGGAGTGACTGGTGTACTCCTAAAAGAAAAAGGTCTCTGTCTGCAAATCCCCTTTGCTCGCCCGGTAATCCACCCCCGCCCCCAGCCCTGCCTGTCCGACCTATACAGCTGTTTTTAATCCCTACTTTTCTCACTTGGCGTCCCAAACTCGGGCTGACCAGACGTGGAGCCACTTAGCGTTTCCTCCTCCCCCAGCCGGGGTCTGTCCTCTCTCCGCGGTCTCCTCTTTCTCCGCCTGCGTCCCCGGGGGGTAGAGTGTGGGAAGAATGAATTTCCGCCTGGTTTGCTAGCCACTCGCCAACTTGGGTCCCTTCCGGACACAGCCTGCGCGCCCCGGCTCCTCCGGCGGTGAGCCACCGAGGCCGCGCTTCGCCGCCCGACCCAGAGCACGGGGGCGCGGGCTGCGGGGGCCGAGTTGCCGGGGCGCAGCAGCCAAGCCGCGCCCCGAGGAGCTCTTGGAAAGGCTCCCGCCCGCAGCTGGGGAATCCGCTCGGCGGGGAGAATCCGTGCCAGGGAATCCAGCTCTCCGGACTCAAGCTGCAAACAAAAAGCGCCAGGACTTGCTCCCTCCCTCCGCCTCCCGAGGCGCACCCGGAGAAACAGTTTTCTGCAGAAATGCAACAAGTAGCACCCGGAGCTTGCAGTGCGCCCGGCGCAGCCTGACTTGACTGTGCAAAGGCCGCCCGCGGAGACCCCGGCCAGCCACCGGACAAAGGGCGGAGGAGGGGCTGGACGGCGCAGCAGTCCGAAAGAGGCCATTTAGCGACTCTGGGGAGGCCAAGGGGAATGCAGAGGAGACACGGTGCGGGCGGGCCAAAAGGACGATCCGGCCGCAGCACGCTGGGCGGGCGGCGATGGAGGCTGCCCGTGCTGTGCGCTTCCTGCTCGTGGTGTGCGGCTGCCTGGCGCTCCGGCCGAGGGCCGAGTCTGTATGCCCGGAACGCTGCGACTGCCAGCACCCCCAGCACCTCCTGTGCACTAACAGGGGTCTCCGCGCCGTGCCCAAGACCAGCTCGCTGCCGAGTCCCCAGGACGTGCTCACCTACAGTCTCGGGGGCAACTTCATAACCAACATCACAGCTTTCGACTTCCACCGCCTGGGGCAGCTTAGACGGCTGGACCTACAGTACAACCAAATCCGCTCTCTGCACCCCAAGACCTTCGAGAAGCTGTTGCGACTGGAGGAACTCTACCTGGGAAACAACCTCCTGCAGGCACTCGCCCCAGGCACTCTGGCCCCTCTGCGCAAGCTGCGCATTCTATACGCCAATGGGAACGAGATCAGCCGCTTAAGCCGAGGCTCCTTCGAGGGCCTGGAGAGTCTGGTCAAGCTGCGGCTGGACGGAAATGCCCTGGGGGCGCTGCCGGACCTGGTCTTCGCCCCGTTGGGCAATTTGCTCTACCTACATCTGGAATCCAACCGGATCCGCTTTCTGGGCAAGAATTCCTTCACCCAGCTGAGCAAGCTGCGCTTCCTCAACCTTTCTGCCAACGAGTTACAGCCCTCCCTGCGCCACGCGGCCACCTTCGCACCGCTGCGCTCCCTCTCCACCCTCATCCTCTCGGCCAACAGCCTGCAACACCTCGGGCCGCGAGTCTTCCAACACCTGCCACGTCTCGGCCTACTGTCTCTCAAGGGAAACCAGCTCACGCACCTCGCACCGGAGGCCTTTTGGGGGTTGGAGGCCCTGCGCGAGTTGCGCCTGGAGGGCAACAGGCTGAGCCAGCTGCCCGAGGCGCTGCTGGAGCCCCTGCACAGCCTGGAGGCGCTAGATCTGAGCGGCAACGAGCTGTCTGCTCTGCACCCCTCTGTTTTTGGCCACCTGGGTCGGCTGCGGGAGCTCAGCTTGCGCGACAATGCCCTCAGCGTCCTCTCCGGAGACATCTTCGCCGCCAGTCCCGCGCTCTACCGGCTGGATCTAGACGGCAACGGCTGGACCTGCGACTGCCGGCTACGAGGTCTGAAGCGCTGGATGGGAGACTGGCACTCGCAGGGCAGGCTCCTCACTGTCTTCGTGCAGTGTCGCCACCCTCCGGCCCTGCGGGGCAAGTACCTGGATTACCTGGATGACCAGCAGCTGCAGAACGGATCTTGCACAGATCCCTCTCCCTCAGCCTACCCCACCGCCGGGGAGAGTCGGCGGCCCCTACCCACAGCTACACGGGAGATGGCGCCCCCTGCAGGTGGCCTTGCCGTCGAGCTGCCGCCGCAGCCTCAGCCACACCAGCGGGGGCGATTTTTGCCTGGGTTGGCCAGGGATGGGGCCGCCAGGGAGCTCATGGGCAACCGCAGCGCCCTGAGACTGAGCCGGCGGGGCCCGGGTGCCCAGCAGCCTAGCCCCTCCGCTGCTGCCGTGGACCCAGCGCCACACCCTCTGGACCTTCTGGAGAAACCCGAGAGGGGACGTCCAACTCCGGCCGATCCTGCCCACGCGGAGCCCACCCAGACGGCCGCGCCCAACGCTGCATCACCACCCGCGGGCGACCCCTGGCAGCGCGCGGCTAAGCAGCGCCTGTCTGCAAAGCAGCAAGAGAGCGCCGCCCACTCCGACGGCGGGGTCAGCCTGCCGCCTCTGGTGTCAGACCCGTGCGACTTCAACAAGTTCATACTGTGCAACTTGACCGTGGAGGCGGTGAGCGCAGACAGCGCCTCCGTGCGCTGGGCCGTGCGCGAGCACCGCAGCCCCCGGCCACAGGGCGGCGCGCGCTTCCGCCTGCTCTTCGACCGCTTTGGGCAGCAGCCCAAGTTCCACCGCTTCGTCTACCTGCCGGAGCGCAGCGACTCGGCCACGCTGCGCGAGCTGCGCGGAGACACCCCGTACCTGGTGTGCGTGGAGGGCGTGCTCGGGGGCCGCGTCTGCCCCGTGGCCCCCAGGGACCACTGCGCCGGGCTGGTCACCCTCCCGGAGCCCGGGAGCCGAGGCAGCGTTGACTACCAGCTGCTGACCTTGGCCCTGCTGGCTGTCAACGCGCTGCTGGTGCTCCTGGCCTTGGCGGCCTGGGCGTCACGCTGGCTGCGGAGGAAGCTGAGGGCCAGGCGGAAGGGCGGGGCCCCGGTGCACGTTCGCCACATGTACTCCACCCGCAGGCCTTTGCGCTCCATGGGCACCGGCGTGTCTGCCGACTTCTCGGGGTTCCAGTCCCACCGGCCGCGCACCACGGTGTGCGCGCTCAGCGAGGCCGACCTCATCGAGTTCCCCTGCGACCGCTTTATGGACAGCTCGGGTGGCGGTGCGGGCGGCAGCTTGAGACGGGACGACCATCTCCTGCAGCGATTTGCCGACTAGGTCCAGAGCCCCCAGAGGGAGTGGAGACCACCACCGCTCAGGGGACCCCTCAACCCGCCTGAGGGGAAGATCTCACTTAATCAGACCTCCTCTCCCCGTTTTGTGCACTTGCCGTAGAGGCCAGAGGGGACAGACGACCCATTCGTTCGCCACCATCACCCCAGTTCCCAGGTGTCATTCATGAAGTAAATGGATGGTATCTGGTGGTCAAGGCCAAGATGAGGGGACTAATGGATGGTGGGGTCCAGAGATGGGAGGTTTTCTTTATGTGGAGACCTTGTGCAGTTATAAGAATGGCATTGGTGACATTACAGTGCCATAGCCTGGCCCCCTGTGGGGTTGAAAAGGGTGCTTGTGCCCCAAACAGGGCCAGAAAGAGGTTTGGGTGCATTGCTTTTTGTTTGTTCAGTGTCAAACAGAAGGGTTTTCTTTCTGTTTCAGGAAAAAGGAACTTATTACCATTACAAAGAAGCCTTGGCAACTGGCTCCACCGGCCTGGTGGTCTCTGCCAAGAAGGGTGATGTTGTAAACAGGTGGTAAAGTTTAACACACTCGCCAAGGAACTCTTTCATCTTGGTTAATAGAACATTCAGGAAAACTTAATGTTTAAATAATTAGAGACGCTATTTTTTTTTTCAACAATGTGAAGAGCTCTAACATTTAACAAACTAATAAACTCAAGGACTACTTTAGTTGAGCCGGTGGTTTAACTATCTTAAAATTATTAGCATTAACACCCCACGAACTTTTGCTGAAAGTGGGGTTAACCAGGATTACGTACATTCTAGAAGGAGTTTGCATGCAAGACGTCTGGGTCAGGGTTGCTCCTGTGGCTTTTTAACTTTATTTTTTTTTTAACTCTGTATATGGACATTTCAATGGCAGACTTGATCAAAGAATGTAATATGACATAAGTGATGGCCCCGTGGGGAACACCAGCATTGTAGTTAAAGTGCACATTTCTGATAATGTGTCCAGATTGGAATAAACAGGATGTGGTGCTTCTCCTATTTTCATTGACACATTGAGCCACACTTCTCTCAAATTGCACAGTTAAGTGATAAAGGTCATTTCCTATTGGAGGGGGAGCAAAAGGGGATTGTCAATTGATACTCTCAAGTCTGGCCACGTTAATGTCTTACTCTACATGGAAAAGTAGAAGGGAAAAAATGATTGGGAAAGAATGTGGACAAAAAAAGTATATCAATGGGTGTTTGTTTCTACTAAAACCAAAAGATTGTTATGAGTACTTAAACCTCACTGTGAAATAATGATATATTTTACAAATTAATCTCTCCACTACCCAGTGTTTTATTGTGTTATTAAATCTTATCTTTTAGTTAATAATTGCAGTATTTCTTTTAAATGTTTTGGTGTTGAACTTAGGGTTAGACTCTTATTTGCTCAGTTGTTTTCAACTATTTGGTATACTTTCGTTCCCTGATATTTATGAAGTACATGTTTATCACTAAATATAGTGCTTTGGTTTACATGAATAATTGTGTGTGGTCTAGAAACGCAGTCCCTAGAGGGTGTCACAGTGGTTATTCACTGTGGTTGTGTTTATGATGGCATCTGGGTGCTGTGGAGGCCACCACAATGGTGCTAAGGCCCTCAGTGAAACATCTGTTAGGGCCTTAAACCCCTGAGGATCTTCGTGACTCAGGAATCTATCTCAGCCCAGGGGTCCTTCAACCCCAGTCCACTCCTTCTCTCCGTGGCCTTGACTGGGCCAGTCCTGCCCTTGCCCCAACAGCCGAGTAGGAACCCAGGGATCTAAATGAGCTGATTTTTGGTTATGTTCAGATGAGTAAAGTCCAGACCACTTAAAATACAGCTGCTTTTCTGGCAGTCTTATCTGTGGGGCCAAAACTTAATAAGCCACAGGAAATAGACTGTCATTCTCAGTTTGCTGCCAGGCCCTGCTCTAGATTCAGAGCATCTTGGTATGTGGGAGAGGTGTAGTCGTTTGCTCTTATTTTCAACCTTTGAGCTGCCTTTCACCTTTCTTGCCCCCTAGCTTTATGCACTCAGATCCCATCCATTTGCTGTTGTTCTTGCATAGCAGCTTAATAGTGAGTCCCACTGAAAGTCTGAAAAAAGACCTTGGTTTTTCCTACCCTTTCAAGTGCAGAACATCACTGAAAATGCTTAATTCCTGGATCTATGTAAAAACCATTTCACTGGAAAGTGAGAAATGAATAAATGTTATACATTGTTATGTTCAGTCACGTCAATAAACCCACTTACTAATGGAGATGTCTTATTGTTGCAGTTTCCAAATATTTTATATAGTTTGATTACCATGGCCTGCACTTTTCTACAGTTTTTCATTAATGAAAACAAAACATAAGCTTTCTGTCCTCTTTCAATGTTTTTTGATTTCTATTCCCTCAGAAGAGCAGAGACCTAATTTTAAAGACATGGTTGTGTGACATTATGCCCAAAGAAACAATGAGATGGGTCTAAGAGTAGACATCAGAATGGTGTGAAAATACAGTGACAGCAAGATGACCAGGTCTCAGGCACCCGGTGTTTGAAGGAAGCTGAATTATTCTGGTGATGCTTATGGTCAATAAGGAGTTATTGAACTGGAGATCATTTTGCCTTTACAAAGTTTATGAAAAGATAAAATTCCCAAAGAAAAAAATAAAATGAATTAGGAGTGTTCAATTAACGAGCCCTTGAGGCCGTCTGGATGTGGCCACACCCTTAGGGTGGCCAATAGATGGTTGCTTTCATACGGCAGATAATTCTGCAATGCTGCCGGATAATAATTTGCATATGATCAGAACATCTTCACTCTGGTCATGCACTGGTCTTCACCAGAAGTGCAGCAACATGGGCAGCTGCTAATTATTAGGAAATGATCAAATAGACACTGGCCTACCTGATGTTTGTAGAAAACCACTCCCACTCTGCTCCTAGCACATGAATGTAAGTGACACTGAAGCTTCCTAATGCCAAAAATACACCATTCAAAGTTGCAGCTGTGAACCAGAACCCAAACAGAATCCTAGTCAGTCTTATACCTTCACCATAGAATTACAGCATCCCTGAAGTTCAGAAAGATTTGAAGGAAGTGATGAAAGATTCCTACTTATCTGAGACTGCACTCAGTCCTCATTCTGTTTACCTTATCTCTTTGTACCTCGGCTTCTGTATTGTGAAAATGGGGGTCCTGGATCCTGCCTATTTTGGGGAGTAAGGAATGTTTGACAGCACCAGTTACATGACAGGTGTTCAATAAATATTAGATGTATTATTAGTAACAGTATTCTGGGCACAGGGCAGAAAGTTGTGTGATACACTTTTAGTAATTTCATGGACAAGGCATTTCTGTTTAAACCCTAACTAAGCAGAGAATTCAGATAATGAGATCACAGCAAACCGCCCCCCCCCCCCCCCCTTGTTCTGGTTAGTTGAGACTTTAATTTAGTGTGGAAGGAGAATTCATGAATTTCTTTTTTTATAAGGTGACTATATTGTTATTTGAACAAACATTTCTGTTTATTCAACTCTTGGTGTAAGTTTATTCAACTCTTGGTTAATTCATCCTTGAACTAAGGATTTGTAAATGGTCTTGTTTCTAGGGTGTCCCTACTTCCCATTAACTTTGATGGTATCTCCAAGTGTCCTTTTACTTAGTTCACTTAAAAGGATTCTTTGCATGCACAGATGCTTTTTCTGCTAGAGATTTTGGGTCACTTCATCCTTCTTAATCATGTCGCAAATAGTAGTCTTTTTATTTTGTGTGGGAGATAGGTATTTGGAGATAATCCTTAGCTATATTCATTACTGAAATACTGGAAAATGTAGCTTCCTGATATTTTATCTTGGGGCAGAATATCCAAATATCCCATTGCTTCTGTTTGAGAGATTTTAAGCTACCAGTGTTGATCCCTTATTGACATAGAAAAGTGGCTTTATAATTTGGCAGCAAAATGATATCAAATGCTAGATAGAAATAAACGGTCATGCAGCAACATTTTAAGCAACAGCCTCTGACAATGAAATCCCTAATAACATTTCCTTTAAACATATAAAATGAATGCTAGCTTTGCATTAACAGGACAGCACCATCATAGTAAGTCTTACCCTGGCCTTGTAAAAGTTATTCACCTATCCAAGTTACGGTTTTTAATTAAGTCATACTTACACTACAGCTGATTTACATGTAACTTTGTTATAACATGTGGTAGCATGCAGCAACATACCTTTCATGGTACCCATGCTCTATTCGCTTTCTTCCAATTGTGGTGTTCATCTAAAGATTTTTAACTTTAGGGAACTAAAGTAATTATAAGTAATAACAAACACCCGTATTAGCACTGTTCAGCAGCAGTCAACAAGTGGTTTGTCTTCAGCTTTAGTTCTTATTAACAAAACTCCCAATATCCTTCCCATATACTGTCTTCGTAGCCAACTACCACCATGAGTTGAATGTATTTCCTTCTTAACAGTTGATTCTTGTTATTTGAAGTTAATTATGCTCTATAAAGTTGCCAAGACCACTGTTTTAAGGAATATTGAAACATTGCTCCTATGGGAGATACAGGGTTAGATCCCTGACATGTATCACCTTTTTTTTGATGTGTTTCTGTTTTAAAGCACCTTGTTTAATATATATATATATAAAATGTTAATGAACTAACTATATAATTGAACTCACAGTCAACAACACTATGACACATGCCTGAATGAAGTTTATCTAAAATATATCTTCCCCCTAAGACATGTCATAGCCTTCCTGCACTTAAAAACACTAGCCAGTGCTTCAGTCCTATGCTTTGGGGTCCTTTGAAATAGCTAAATCACTGAGAAAAAGCACAGAAACACAAAAAATGTGGCACTAAATAGACTAAAAGGACATTTGTTATGGACTGAATGCTGAAAGAAGGGTAATCGTTGCTTTGTTCAGCTTCCGCTGGGAATAAGCATGGACAACTCGAAGACTCCAGTGCTCTGCACAAGTCCGCAAATGGCCTTCAGAGTAATGCAGTGTGCTTTAGATGTCATTGATTTTAATGTTTTTATCTTTCAATTCCATTGATTTACGCTCTTACTATCATTCTCTACCTTCTCCTTAGTTTGGCTATAACCCCTTCTTCTGTTTTTTTAATGTAAAAACTTAGGTTATTAATTTGAGGCCTTCTCTAATATGATCATTTGATGACAAAGGCTATCAATTTCCCCATACATTTTGATATACTGTATTCCAGTTTTAATCAAATTAAAAATATTTTCTCATTTCCATTGTGATTTTTTTCCTGATTTGCCTGCCTGAATTATTTAGAATTATGTTGTTGAATTTCCAAATATTTACAAATTTTCCAGAAAGTGTTGTTGATTTGTACTTTGACTTCTTTGTGGTCAGAGACTCCAAAGCTTTTAAACTGTTATGGCTTCTTTCATGGGCCAGAATATTTTCTGTATTGGTCATGTGCACATAGACATGTACACATTAAAAGAATGTGAACTCTGCTATTTTCTTGGGGGGTGCCTTACGTCAATAAGTAAGGCTGCTTGACAATAATGTTCAGCTCTTTTATTTCCTTACAGATATTTGTTTCCTGCTTGTTCGGTTCACTGAGAGAGGGGTGTGGATTTGTCTATTTCTCTTTCAGTTATCTCAATTGCTGTATGTATTTTGAAGCTCTGTTTTGGATTGTTATCTTATTTTCTAGGCAACCCTTTACTGTTATGTACCTCTTTATCTTTGATCAATGTAAAGCTACTTCACCAGTTTTCTCCTGGTGAAATCCTCATCTTAAAAAAAAAAGTCTGCTGTCTTTTGTTTTATGTAAATCTCAATTTGCATATTATATCCTCCTGTACCTGAAGAGCTTCTTTTAACATTTCTTATAGTGATGTTCTCTTTGCAATGAACTGTCTTGACTTTTTACTCATCAGACAATGTTTTATTTTGTAAGATTTTTCTTGAGTATTCTTCGCTGATTTTTTTCTTTCTTTCAATAATTTAAAGATGTTTCTTCATTGTCTCCTAGCTGGCTCAACATTTGACAAGGAGCCTACTCTAATTCTAACATTTATTATATATATATATATATAATGTCTATTTGTTCTGGCTGCTTTCAAAATTTTTCTCTTTAAGTTGGGCTTCAGCAACTTAAATGATATGTTTTTGTTTGTTAAACATTGTTTTAACCACATAGGTCTCTCTGAGCTTCTTGAATCTGTGATTGTCTTTAATTTTAGGAAGAAATATGTGATGCCTTCTTTCTCTTCTCCATCTGGAAATCCAATTATCTATTACACCATTTAATATTGTTCCACACAGCTCTTGGATATTCTGTTATTTTGTACAAAGTCAAAACCTTTGTAATTCAGCTTGAAAATTTCTATTGACCTACCTTTAAGTTACTGATCTTTTTCCAACAGGATCCAGTGTGCTAATTAGACCTTTAAGGAATTCACTGAATTTCCCTCCTCCTCTATCCCAGCATTTCTTTTTGTTTCTTTAAAAAAATGTTCTATCTGTCAAATTCCATATCTGTTTATGAATGTTATGTAACTTTCAACTAGATCTGTTAATATAAGACTATTTTAATATAAGAAACTTAATTAAATTCTCAATAGTTTTGACATTCAGATCATCTTATAGTTTTATTGATCACTTTATCTTTAAATAGGTTGCTTTTCATTCTTTTTTTGTTCTATAATTTATGTAAGTCTTGTAAGTTTTAATTGGTGCTAGACAACACCCAAAACTGAGAATAGTATTTATGCCCTGAAGTTGGTATAACTCTTCTGTCAGGTTATACTGTGAAAATTAACTCAATTAATTAGTAATACTTAAGCTGGGCTTGGATTTTGTTGTTGCTATACAGACTTCAAATATCTTCAGTCATATGCAGATATCTTTTGTGATATTAAAGCATGTTCATAGCTTTAATTTTAAAATTAAGGCTTAGTCTTCAAGCATTTATTATGTTCAGTAAATAACAAATTTTCTTGAATTGACAGACTGTGCTTTTGGAGATTTTGCTCACATAATGGATTTTTTTAATTTTTTAAATTTTATTTTATATATTTTTTACATCATTTTTCTTTTTTGTACAATGTATGCATTTTCGTCACGGTTATATTCCCCATGCAATTCCCATCCCCCCTTGTTTTCATCCTACTCTCTCCTCCCCCCTATAGTGTGTCCCTGGTTTATAGTTGCTTGTTGATTTTGATTTTAACTTTATTATATTAGTCTTTTTCCTGGTCCCTTATTTAGGTTTTCTAAATTCCTGCTATGAGTGAGGCCATCCGATATTTTTCTTGTTCTTTCTGGCTTATTTCGTTGAGCATAATCCCTTCCAGTTCCATCCATGTTGCTGCAAATTGCATGAATATATTTTTTTTGATTGCTGAGTAATATTCCAATGTGTGTATGTACCACATCTGCTTGATCCAGTCATCTATTTTTGGGCATTTGGGTTGTTTCCATGGCTTAGCTATTGTAAATAGTGCTGCTATAAACATAGGGATGCAGGTATCCTTTTGAATTAATGTTTTTGTGTCCTTTGAGTAAATACCGAGGAGTGGGATTGCTGGATCATATGGAAGCTCCATCTTCAGCAGATTGAGGAATCTCCACAGAGCTCTCCATAGTGGTTGTATAACAGGGTGGTCCCCGGGAAAGGGGGAGGTTCCCTGCCCCACCCAAGGGAGGGTGGAGCTGAGCAGGAAGAGAAGAAGCTGCAGAGGAGACTGAGGAAGGAAGGAAGCAGGATGCAGCCAGAAGGAGACCTGGAGGAGGCTCATGGAGCCTAGAGACATGTGAAGAAACTGCACTTGTCTTTTGGTTGTGGACTGGGTGACACAAATGTGGGTGAGACCCGTGGGGAGGTGACAATGGCAGCTTTTATCTTGATTTTAATTTTGCTCTTTTCCTTCCGGGCTTGTCTGGTTGTTTCTGACCCTTTTCTGTGGATCCCCACTGGAAGATGCTTTAGACTTGTGGCAGGCTTTGGGGCCTTGATCTGGGCCAATCCCATTTGGATGGAGTTTTACCCACGAGGGGACGGGTAACTTTGGGTGCTTGATTTAGAAACTAGATTCTTTGCCTTTCCTGTATTGTTTCCAAATTGTATTAAAGTTCCTTCCCATTAAAGTCTCATGTTTTGTGTTAATGTGGTGGATGGCAGAACCCATTTAGAGCAGGCAGGTTTGAGGGGTCTGGGGTACCCCTCTCCTTGCCCTGTAACAGTTGGGCCAGTTTGCACTCCCACCAGCAGTGCAGGAGAGTTCCTTCTTCTCCACATCCTCCGCAACGTTTGTGGTTGCTAGTCTTTTTAATATGTGCCATTCTCACTGTTGTAAGATGGTATCTCATTGTGGTTTTGATTTGCATTTCCCTGATTACAAGTGATGTTGAACATTTTTTCATGTGCCTGTTGGCCATTTGCATTTCCTCTTTGGAGAAGTTTTTTTTTAGCTCTTCTGCCCATTTTTTGACAGGATTATTTTTTTTGTTTTTGTTGAGTCTCATCAGCTTTTTGTAGACTTTTGTGATCAGTCCTCCATTAGTGTTGTGTGCAAAGATTTTCTCCCAGTCGGTGGGGTTTCTCTTTGTTTTGGTTACTCTTTTGCTGTACAGAAGCTCTTTAATTTGATGTAGTCCCAGCTCACATAACACATATTCTTAAGTTAAATATGTGTAATAGTTTATGCTAATGTGTGTGCAAATTAGCAATAATGAATATGTTTTCTTTTATTTCTTTCCCCCAACATTATATTAAACGTGGGTACACCTTTTCAAATAAAATTAATTTACAATTCCTTTTTGTATCAACAGCTCTATGAATTAGATTACATTTATTTAACATCTAAAAGAATTCAAATCAAGGAAAGTAAAGAATTGTATACTTTCTAGAATGTATGGTTGGGGTTTTTAGTGTTAACTTGAGAATTTCATCATCATGGTGCCATGAATTTTCAGACATATTTCTATATACTACATTTTGTTAGAAAGGACCCCTGTCGTATAAAGGGAATGACTTTCTCTTGTGCACAATGAGCTTTTAAACAAATTTCAAGCTGAAATAATATTAGTGGAAGAGGAACACAAGCAATTATCAATAGATACAGTGGGATTCTTGATTTGTAAAATAATCCACAGATGGTACTCTTCTGGCAAGGATTATGCAAACCCAATACTGTGCAATAATTACCAAATCTCAAAATTATAGGTAGACAAAAAATATCTCATTATCACAGGGAAATAAGATGTGTTAATTTTAATAATGCCTAGAGAAAAGGAATTATTAAATGGCAAGATAAAACTTCATGTAGAAAGGACACGCTCCATTTGAGAATTATTTTGATTTTACATGTTTATTATTTCACATATGTAAAAACATAAAATGTATATTATATAAAATGGCAATTTCCTATTTGGGGATATAAATATCTAAGACTTGTGTTTTTTGTGTTAGGCAATATTTTAAGAGTTTTCCTGATAGTGACTCATTCAGTCCTCATAAACCACTGAGTTAGCTACCATTACTATTCTCACATTAAAGATGAGGGAACTGAGGCACAGAGAAATTATGTATTTTGACAAAGGTTCATGAGTGTGTTGGAATCTAGATGTGAAGGCAAACTGGCCTCGCTATGGCCCTAGCACTCTACCACCTCTTGTAGACATGACAACTGATAAAGCATCATGGGTTTGTTGGTCAAATTCACCAAGAACATTATTTTTCCCCAATTCAACCATTTACCATTCAATTCTAAGTAGTTTGGTCTTAATTTTCTGCCTAGTTTTCTCAATCTGTTTAATATGTTAAAAGTAATACCCACTGGGGCCTCCCTGATGGCACAAGGGGTTAAGCACCGCACTATGAAGCAATCCACAGCCTCTGCAGCACGAGTTCGATCCCCAGTGGGCCAGAGAGCAACCCACATGGCGAAACAGACCTCTCCTGTCTTGCCCACTGCTCCCCTCAGCAGTGTACTTTGTCAGTCTGCCTGTTCTGTTCCCCGCTCTGTCTGGTGAATCCTCTCACACACCCCCACCCCTGCCCCATATCTCTGGCCTGTACCCAGCTCTTGTAGGTATAAATAAATCTTAAAAAAAAAAAGTAATACCCACTGTTACATTATTGATCCTTAAATACTTAATGATAGACAGGCAGCTCATCCACAGCCACAAATGCTTCACTGTTGTGTGTTGTGGGGTTAGTTCTTTCTCTTGCTTTATAAGCTCCCTTAGGCCAAGAATCCCATCTTGTGTTTATCTTTGTGTCTCTACAGACCCGGCTAGAGTTCCTGACTACCTGCTTATTGATGGTGCCTCAAGGCAGCTATTCAAGCTTCACTTCACCAACAGAGCCCACACATGTTCATGTAAGCTGCATGCATGCATGTGTTGGGGCAAGTCAATTAATAGCTGCAATTCCACCCAATATATTTAGCATCTATATAGCAACAGCTGAAGACTGATAGATGCTGTAAGATGCTATATTTGACTGGGGTACAATATGATTCTATTTTCTCTCTTTAATATAGAAACATACTTCTTAAAAATCCAACAAATGGAAAATTAAATACACATTTCCCCCTCTGTGTACTATTTCTAGATTTTGTGTAGTTTAGAATACATCTGGGATTATGTCTTCTTTTATATTGGTATTCCTGTCATCTAACTTTGTGCATTTCACACAGTAGGTTCTCAATAGATGCTAGTAAAATCTTTTAAATGTAAAATTTACTCCTATCAGGAAAAGAGTTATGGTAAGAAATATTTTTCATCAAAGAATTTTTGGATCTACCAAAGTCTGATTTTTTTTTTTTTTTGCTTTCTAGGACATAGAACAAAATATAGGTGCATACACTCTGGTGGCTTTATTTTCCCCTTAGTCCTCATTCTTTTAGTAAATTCTTCCCCCATGACATCATGCCTGAGACTTAAAAAAAAGAGACCCAGGTATAGCAATAATTTATGAATTTTTCTGCACCAGAAAAGCACAATAAAACAAGTGTTTTTCTGAGATAAGGGACATTTCAGCGACAC